CTCAGTGCCTGCACTGAGACCCAGTTGCAGTTACGGGCCTTGGCCCTTTACAGTTGGGCACGTCCAGACATTCCACGGTCCTCCACATGTTTGCTTTGATCTTATTGGCTTACGACCACTATGTGTCGACAATGCTGCAATCTCATTGGTGTGTGGTTCTTGTATGACGTGTCGGCCGCACACGCCCAGAGCCTTAACTGTACGGGGCCCTGGCTCAACTGCCCGTCGAGGCTGCAACTTTCGGAAAGAGCTTGGAGAGGCTCACGTTGCTCTGTAACCAACTGGCATGCTGCAACTGTCTGATACCCACTTATGAAAAAATGTCAAATTTTGGCCGTTTGTCAATATTCTTGCCCGCCTTCACTTAGGGTGGGCACAGGGCTCGCTGAGGGTCTCTGCCTAGAACATGTGCATGTTATGATCCAGGCCAATTTCGAGATACACATTCATCAAATAGTACAATGTTGTCCAATTGCAGAAGAAATGAATGAACTTGAGAGGAGAGAGAGGGTAAGAAGAAGACGAAGAAGTAAGAAAGAAGAAGAAGATGATGTACACCAATATAGACAAATGATAAAGCAAGCTCTTCTTCTTTGCTCAACTCTTCCTTCCTCCTTATCTCCTCCTCTCTATTCACACAAGAAATGATAATACAATGTTGAATAGCTGAACCAGAATCAAAGTCTAAATCCCTCTTCTATTGCAGGTATCACTAGAGGTCCACCATAGCCATGGCCGCCTCTCCCACTCTTCACTCTCATAGGCTGAGGCTATGGCAGACTACTAGGCTTTGCCCAGATATCCAAAGGACAACCCAAAACAGCTATGGCTGCCTTAGCTTAGGCCGCCATGCCTGACTCTGCCTCGAAGCTTCTTGGTGTAGCTCAACCCCCGCTGGGGCCTTCCTGCTGCAGCGCCCACCAAGGTGATGAAGATGGCTGCCACCATATCCAGGTAAGTACCTCTGGCGCTCTTCCCCCTTCCTGTCCTTTTTCCTCCTCCGAGTCCTTGCTTCTTCCCTAGCAGCGCTGCTCCAAGCTAGCGCTGCTCCAGCCAGCGCTCCAACCAGTGTGTCGCCAAACTTGCACACCGACAATGAGGCTGAGCTCTTTGCCTGACCTGGAGATATAGCGGCTTGCTTGCCTCTTGGGCGATGACTTCAAGGCCGCTCGGCCTTCCCAAACAACCGGTAACTCCTCCCTTTCGGAGGGAAACATCATTGCAAACTCTGATATTGCCCGTACAGGCCCCAGACTCAGACTTGTTGGACTGGTACCCGCCAAGACCTAGCCGACAACTACTGGGCTTCCTCAAAATGCCACTTTTGTCTTCTTCTGCTCGACCTCCAGTACCCCCACATCTACCTCTTCAGGGTGCGGTACCGGCCTACCTGCTACTTGAGTGTTTTCCCCCGCTGCAATCCCTCAATGTCACGGCCACAGGTAAGTACCGGCCTTGAGGGCCCAACGAACGAATAAGTGTCATTGAGGGCCACACACACACTCAAGCCAACCAGCACTCAGACAGACATGCAGTCCAGCAAGCGTGCATACACATAGACTTAGAGAACTTAGTAGCAAGCGGGGAACTCAGCAAGGCATTCAGTCTATGATAAAAACTCAGAAATCAGCTGTGTGTTTCAGTCGCTGTTTGGTCGGGTCATCATACTACTCCCCCCTCGAGAGAGAGGTCCCTTCGAGCGAGTAACTCATTCGGAGTCCCCGACAAACGCATCGTAGGCAAACGAGGCAAAGAGATTTCGAGAATACTCGGTCGCAGTGAGCTTGGCAGGAATTCTAGGTGCATCATTAGAGGGGATTCGTCACTTGTAGGCTTTAACAACGCGTGGTGCGCTGCGCAGCAGTTCCTGCTTGGAAATCCAATATACATCATCCAACAAGTGGTACATAAAATGAACCTGGTAATGTATGTTGCGTCCATTCGCTACGTGCTGTTTAATTTTGTCTATCTCATGTTCGCCATTGATTGCACAAGGAATCATGTCTTCACGGTAATCGAACGATTTAGCATCACGGTGGAGATACAATTTTGATGCATGAAAAACAGGGTATGTACGTACATGAGGTGGCACAACAACTTGAACCACGTACGAAGGACCAAATTTATCTTCGCCAATCACATCCAGAACTTCCCATGGACCATAGTAGAGTGGAAGAAGTTTGCGTGATACTCCCTCTTCTTCTAAAAACTCAGACATCTTGACCCAGACATAACTTCCCACTTCAATATCTGAAGGTCGGCGCTTTTCGTTTGCATGATGGATCATGGTGTGCTATCGCTTGGTCATTTCTGCGATGGCAACTTTGAGCAAGCGATCGTACTTAACCCTGAAGCCAGGCCTATCGGGTGTTAAACCAGCTGGCTGCTCAGGGAATAAGTAGGAGAGCAGATTATGAATCTGACAACCGTAATGCAGCCTGTTTGGTGTCATGCCGGTGGCATAATGGATGGAGTTGTTGTACAACCGCTTGACGGAATACAACTCTTCATCCCATGTTTCCTGATCCAGAATGATTAAAGCGCGGAGAAGTTGGAACACAGTCTGGTTGATTTCCTCAGCCAAACCGTTGGCTTCGGGATGACAGCGAGATGTCATGCATAGCCTAAGGCCAGGGAGTTGGGCCGTGAGGTCTTTCCATTCCGTACAGATGAAGCGTGGGTCTCGATCACTCACGAGAGTTTTCGGGGCTCCGAACTGCAGAATGTACTTTTGCTTGAACTCACGGATCACCAATTCAATTAGAGCATGAGATGACCAAAGGAATCAGATTAAGAAATTTTTAGAAGAGGTCAACAATCGCCACTAGCTAAGCGCCCGCAAAAATAAGAAATGTTGTAGGGAACCTAACACAAACCACTGACATAAACTGAAACAGACTTCAAAAAAAAAAATTGAATCACAGGGTAATAAAGAATAACCCAAAACTGGCTACGAAGTTTGAGTTTAACTGACGAAAAAAAAAAGTGACAAATTGAAAAATCAATTTAAATCATAAAAAAAAAAGTAGGAGGAAGGCCGAGGAGAGACAGAGACAGACAAAGAGAGATAGAAAGAAAAGAAAAGATAGAGACATAGAGAGAAACAGAGAGAGAGAGAGAGGGTGAAAAAGAGAGAGAGAGAGAGAGAGAGAGAGAGAGAGAGAGAGAGAGAGAGAGCAACAAAAGAGCAAAGAATAAAGAAACACCAACACCAGTATACAAAGAAAGAAGTTTAAATGAGGATTTATCGTTCTATTAAAGTTAGCAAGTGCCCGCAATATGATGAAGGCACAATTATTGCGCAATGGAATCCACCTTGACGTAAAAAAATGCAATAATATCAAATCAAAACTATTTTCCTCTCTCTTTCTCCCTCTCTCTCTCTCTCTCTCTCTCTCTCTCTCTCTCTCTCTCTCTCTCTCTCTCTCTCTCTCTCTCTCTCTCACTCACTCTCTCCCCGCTTCCCCATTTATTTCTCTCTCTCTTCCTATCTCTTCTGTAAGGGCAATTACTTAATCAAAACCAAAACTCACCATAAAAAAATATGTCATTAAGGCAACGCCTGGACGACCGCCAATCAACATCTCTCACTTCCGATCTCTCTTATAAGTCCAATCAACTTCCTTCACTGGAACGATACTCTTGCAGCACCTCACGAATAGAAACTTGTTGCAACATTTTGCGACGATACTCCTCAAAAGTTATAAATTGACCCTGTCCTTGCCGATTGTAATCGAGATGAATTGTAGCATCCACACATATCCAAGTGTCCATGCTCGTATTCAATTCCGCTTCTGCTTCCACAATATCTTGCACCGTGTGAGAACTGTCAAAATAGGACAGGTGTGCAAGTGTCTTTTCGGGACCAATAGATTCAAGAGAGTCATAGACGACAATGTTAAAATTAGAAGAACTTGGTTGTTACAAGGGTCTTGTATGGACATGAAGATGGTCTGTTGATGGCGTAATAGCGGACAAAACACAACTGACAGAAGACGGAGTAGCTGTAGCGGCCGGCAAAGCAGAAACAACAACAAAAGTAGTGACAATCGGCATTGACATATTGGATGGTGGAGCATAATCCGCAAGACGTAGAAAATTTGGAGGAGATGCTGTTTGAAGGGGGAGTCTACGAACCGGTGCGCAATGAGGAGTGGAAGAAGCAACCACGAGAGGAATCCTTTTCAGAAGCTGTTGTATCCGTGCATATCTGTGAAAGGGTTGGGGAATGGGCCCTTCTGTCGGACAATGTGGCAAATCAAATGTCATCCTAGTAATCTCCTCATTAGAGAGAGCAATATACTCATTGCTCAAAAGTGAACTCAACATGGAAGAAGCCTCCAAATCCGAAACATTCAACGGGTTTGAAGGAAGAGTCTCAGGGGATTTTCGTTCCAACCGCATATTAGTGAGTTTGTTTTTTTTCCACTCGAGGAAGTTTTCCCATATTCGTCCATCTTTTACGACTGTGGCAGTTTTGACAAACATTTCAAAAAGCACCTCAGTCAAGACATTTTCTATGTCTACCTTCTTCGCATCCTCGAAGCATTTTCCAAGGTAAGCGTGCGGATTCGTAGCACGGATTGCGGGTTCATCATTATCGTCGGGCACCACAATAACACCCACAGGATTTTGCGGTTCCGATGTGGCACAAACATCTCTTTCGTGTCCACTGCGTTGAGATTCCGAACACGAATCACTAACACGTGCACGTCCAGCGAGCGATGCACAAAATTCAAGAGATGCAAGTGCCTCGGCAGGGAGATCATTTAACTCTCTTAAAATATGAGTCCCCGTTTCACCAGCAACCAGTTGCCGTTCCACCCGATTATTACCGAGCGTAGGCTCGGGCACTCCGGGCGAATCCAAAACATTAGTTTTCGCACGACGGCTCCTTTTTTTCACGAATGTAGATTCAACCAAGTCTCCTTTCGAATCACCTGTAACGTTATCATCCTCGAGATCGCGAAATGTAAGGTTAATATGCCTACTTGACTTACCTCTACATGAACCATCCCCATCAACACGACAATTGTCACCAGACCCCTCCACAACCATTTTCTCAGCATAATCAAGGGTATTCTCTTGGGAACGTTCACGTTCAACCTCACGCAAAACAGGATGATCATCGCGAGGATGTTCACTTCCATGATTCACCGACCTCTCATCATTCTCACTTTTCTTCGACCTTTTCGAATGTTCGGCTCCAACTTTCGGAGTAATATTCATATCATACTGAGTGGTATTGCTGGTTTCCATTGCTTTCCTCTTAGCACGAGTGTCGTACTTATGCGGAATTCGAGAATCGCCTGCAAAGAAAAAATATGACCGAATTATTTGGAATGCCAAGGGTTGATGAAAAAAAAAAAAAAGGACTCATCCCAAGAGTTCATGATATACAATATTCTCCGTAAAAAAATTCTTATGAGGCAACGCAACACGGATGTTGTTGGGATGGTCAACACGCGACAAAGCAACGTACAGTTGACCATGCGAAAAAACCGGTTTGCGTAGCCAAACCCTAGCACGTGATACCGTTTGTCCTTGCGACTTGTTAACCGTTATAGCAAAAGCAAGATGGACTGGAAATTGCCTCCTAAACCATTTGAACTCAGTGGTCTCACCATCGCTTGTCAGATCAATCTTGGGGATTAGTGTTGTTTTACCCATGTGCATTATTGTCACTTCCAACAAATCATCATTAACGATCTTTTTCAGAATCAGCCTTGTGTCATTGCAAAGTCTTTGCTTCGGTGACAAATTTTGCAAAAGCATCACAGGTGCACCAATTTTTAAGCGCAGCTTGTGAGGTGGAAGCCCAGATTCATTGAGAGAGTTTAAGAACGCTCGCTCAATACCAAGCCTGGTATCATCTGAATCAGGATACAATGTAAAGTTCATGCACCTCCCCAGGGAAGTCGTCAAGAACACGGTTGTTAACAGAACCAGCATCATCATTAGTAGGGCATAGAATTAATCGAGGCAAGAAATACTCGGCATCGCCCACATGGTTGGACACATCATCAAACGTCCATAAAATCAATTCATCAATTGGTTTATCCGTACAAATCGCACGTGGCAATCTGACCGCATCACGTTCATTAGGAACAATGCGAGGATGGTCAACATTCCCAATACGCATCAAAAAGTGGTCATACATTCGTGCCATTTCGTCATCCCCTAAGTTTAAGATTCGCATATTTTCAGTCAGTTGATGAATCTCAAAAAGTTTTCACAAAGGAGACATTTTAATGGACGCATTAATTTGTTGCGCTCGCGATCCATGTTTCACAACGGGTAAAACCTGTCTAAAATCCCCGGCGAGAAGTAGAACTTTCCCACCAAACGGCTCTTTATTATTACAGAGGTCCCGAAGTGTAATGTCAAGAGCTTCCAAGTGAAACGTGTTATTCATCGGAGCCTCGTCCCAAATAATCAAGTCGGCACGACGGAGAAGTTATGCAAGATCACTTTGTTTCGCAATCAAGACGGGACGCGTGTTATCAGGTTTCAAAGGTGCGCGAAATCGGGAGTGAAACGTTCTATCCCCCGTTGAAAGAGTCGCCGCTATGCCACTGGAGGCGACGGTCAGTGCAATGGCAGAACGGGACCTAATGTCCGCCAAAATCGTTTCAAGGCAAAAAAAAAAAAATTGTTCCAGCAGGTGCATCGACAAAAGCTCACAACGGTCTTTTCTCTTGCACAGCTCGAATGACTATTTTCACCAACACTTGTTGACATGGACGAAGAGGTCGGAAATTAGAATCATATTTGCATTGCATTTGAATCGGATCATACGATAACTCGTCGTTTAGAATCGAGGATATAGTTTTGTTCTCATAATGTCTGGTTATTTTCTCAGTAATTGTTTCCCCGTCAGGTGTTGGATAATAAAGACAGAACTGACGGATGTTTTTTCCAGACTCCTGTAAAATACGGTCAAGATGAAATAACACTAAGGATTGCAAAATGTTTGGGGGAACAATTTCGTTGCCCGCACGATATTGAAAATCATCACACATCTTATCCCAATGTCGTTCAAAGAAACGGACCGGATCGTTCACAGGACCAAATGCAAGAACCATAGCAAATATTTTACGAACTTCTTCAGGAATGTAATGCGCAGTGGCTGTGTCGATGCATTGATCGTATGCGTATGTTTGCAAAAGGCCTAATCGAACAGACACGGATCTGAAAGAATCGTATTCGACTCCCTCCACCGTACGAATTTCGGCAAAAGAGCGCACCCCACGAGAATCTAGATTGTTTAACAACGCGCGCAGATAGAATCGTTCTCCTTCGGTGATCCTCACGTGATGCAACCGAGACATCTTTTCGAAGGGACCACCGTGGAGATCACGATTTCTTCGGTTTCACTTCTTATGTTTGTTATTTCATACATGAGTATTAATTATTTCTGCGTAAAGAGGAAGCTCCTTTTTAGGAACACCTTCATTCAAAGAGTTGTGTTCCATCCATGGCGTCAATTTCGTTTTCGGGGGTTCATGCGAAACAACCTCATGCTCAGTGCCAGGTTCGAATTGCACCTTTTGCATGTTTTCGAAATGCACTAGCAATCTTTCCACCTCGAGTCATTGTTCCGCAACGTCAAACTCAAATAGACGTCAGCATGCTTCACATGCACCTACAATACACATATCTTGATACAATTTAACTTTGTCGATGGACGCATTATTATCTTGCTCGCAAACCATAGCACGATCGCACCCTTTGTACACGTACTTATACACGTACTTGCAGGCCTTGATGTTAGCACAATATTCAACATTCATGTGGCAATTAAACCTCATTAGCAAGTACGGGTTATACGGGACCACACGCAGATTATCGTAAACGACACCATTTTGAACAATCGTAAAACCACCGTCACTTGGTTTCCTTCTCCTATACGAAGGGTACGTTTGCTCGTCTTTGAATGTTGTTGTGAAAATGAAGTCTTTCGAAAATCTTTTTGTGCATTCTGCGTCCTCCGTTCACGAAGCGTCGCGTTTCGCCGCACCACAAATCCCGTGCAACATGAACTTGGCTACCCTTTTTCTAAATTCCCCTTCCGGAGGAATCTCGGCACACACCACATTGTCAACAGCATCCGCATCCCGAATTTTATCAACCGGATGCAAGATAACCAATATATGTGTGTGTGGTAGACCCCTTTTTTGAAACTCCACCACAAACAACATTCCACTCACCCTACCAAAGATCCGTTTATTCTTTATCTCATCATGTGGAAGATAACCCTTCAACACTCGTGCGAGAAGATCCGGCCTGTCGTTAGGACATTGACCTAGCAACAAGGTTTGTTTGATCTCCGGCCAATTTGTGTTGTACATCATAGTGATGAAAATATCCGGTTTTCCGAATCGTCTCACAATTGCCATACTGTCGTGATATCTTTCACTCATATATCGAGGCCCCCCAGTGAAGGTTGACGGTAAAACCACTTTTGTCCCAATACCGTCACCACGTTGATTTTATTGCACAGCGTCTCGTAAATCCTGATAATACTCTGAGCGCAATTCTTTTTTGTAGAATCTCACCTATTTTAAGCGGAGCGATTCAACTTTAGCATACGCCATGCAACAATACTCATGGAAGAGGCATGCTGCATAAAGGAGGCAAGACCTTTCACCATCATGCTCGTGAAGGTGAAATGCATAGTACTCCTTGACACTAAGTCCTGGCGGTCATCCAGCCTCTGAGGCACGTCGGACAGACCAACTATCAATTCCCTCCGGGAAAAGTAAAACAAACCTTAAGCAATTGTGCGCCTGAGAACATTCTGGAACCACAATTGTCTGCCGCTCACCAAGAAGAGGAGCACGCAAACGAATCTCCAGCTCACGAGGAAGGAGTTCATCAGTCATCAGAACACACACCTCATGTAGACCATAGAACAGTTATAACGCCTTGCATGTTCCTCCTCAGGCATGACATCCGGATTTATGACCAACTTCCTCCCATTCAAGGCTTCCTGCGGAAGGTTAGCAACCGTCATAAAGTTCTTCACGTAATTGTTACATTGTTGTAGCAATTCATGAAACCTTTTCAATATGCGTTTCCCTCGATCAAGTTCGACATCGAGTGTACGTGCAGGTAAGTTAAGGAAATTCACTCTTTGATAAATCACATCGTCCAAACGTTGAGGATCGTGCAAGTATAGTGGCGCAAACTGAGGACGTTCTCCTCCTCCGACAGCTAGTGTACCGATACGATGATAGATTGGACCTTGAGCCCGAAGTTGACCCTGAAATCCTTGAATACCATCGCTTGGCTGCTTCTACCACGAGGATGTGAGGGATAAACTATTATTAATTATCCTCGCATTGTTTCGAAGGAATCAGTCGTCGGAGCTTTGAGATGTCCAAAGGGAAAGAATCTCATGCTCCGGCTAGCCTTCGCAAGGCCATTCCCATAAAGGATAACATTTTGTACCTTTTCGGCAACACATCTTCGTCCATTTTATTTCATGATGCCACAATTTAGCACTACAATGCTTACACGGATCTCAACTGCCAATGTCGAACGGTTCAACAGTGCTACCATTTTCAAAACTCGCTACAGTGTTCTCAACCGCCGCATACGTTATTCCCACAGGTGCCGATGGAAGTGCATTAAGATCAGGTGCCGGAACACATTCCAAATCATTCATTTCTTCATCGCGACTATTTGGTTCACTGTCTTCATGATTATTCATTGAATTTCGATTTCTCACGGAAGGATTTTGCGATTGTCTTGCTCGTGATAACAGACTTCACGAGTGCCTCGCCCGATAAGATTGACTGCGCGATTGTCTCGCAGGAGAAGATGCACTTCTCGATTGCACAGATGCGCTGACTCGAATCTCTCGAAAGATATTGACCGCGAACAAGCTTCGCCTCACACCCCATACAAAATTTTTATGAGCACGCACATTTTTTTTCCTCCTATGATTCTTAAGCGCAGCTCTCAATGGACGCATACGTTTAACATGAACGTTTGGTCGTTTTCCCTGCCTTTTCCTTCGTTTGAAATTATACGCGACATAGAACATGGTTCGTTCACATTCATTCTATCGACTTGTTTCATTCGTTCACCAGCCTCTACAGTACTTTCAACAACTATTGCACTTATATCATAGCCCAATGACACATGGTGAGGCATCGATGACAGCGATCTAAGTTCCAAACGACGCATGACTTTATTTGCATGGACCTGTCGAATTAATAACATGCGGTACCGTCGGTTACGCCTTGAATGAATCGGTTTCCATAATAATAATCTTTTCCGTCGATTATGAAATCCAACAAAATTTTTACTCAACGTGTTCGACGAATTCGGCGGGGTCGTGGCAGCAGAAGATGGATTTGCACGAACATCCGTCAAGGGAGGACAAACATTACTCTCCACAAATTTTTGTGGGACATCGGCAGTCAATGTGGATGATGAACAATTGTGCACATGTTCCGAGTCCGAGGGAAAATTATCGAGTAAAACAGATCTTTCGACAATCGAAACGGAATCTGCATTTATTGCAACATCCATAAAAATTTCAAGTGGACATTCACTTTGCAAGGCCATAGAGAGATTTCTAGGACAACTAATCCGATCCGTACCAACATTATTATCTCCTCAACTCATTCTGTTGACAAACACGGGGCTTGTGAAATCATTCTCGATAGAATTGATTGTCGAAAAGATAGAGACCTATCACTATATTGTTCTTCATTAGAACAATCAAGAGTATAATCTTGACTTACCACCGGTTGTTTATCTTTCCTGCGAGCAGTTGGCTCACCCTCAGGACCTACCGCCTGTAATAAAGACCTCCGGGTTCGACGGCTTTGGGAAGGTGGTCGTCCGCGTTTGCGGTGTTCGTGTTGTGATGGCATTGTCGTCTCACTCGTAGAGCAACAGGGAGTAATATTCGAACCTATACGCAGTCCCAATCCATGGTTGGATGAGGAAGAAGGGTCCTCGAACGAAAACAAACCAACTTGGCTTGGAACAATGGAAGGCGCCGAGTACATTCTGATATTATCGGCGAGGACACCAAAGGATCCTTAACAACCCTTTCAAAAGGCCGATGACGTTTGCGACGCTTCCACTGAACATACAAGGACCTATCCGCAGGTGAAGAGAAGGTTGGAATGAAGAATAGATTACTATTGGTTGAAGTGTCACATGGGTCTTGGTCCTCTGTTAAATTAATGGGCACGTACGTACGTATTTGTACATGGGCACGTCACGGTGGATAGGAGGAGTAAGATGCATACAGACAACCGGAATGAAAAAAATACAGCTCAAAACATTCATATATAGATGTAATTATATGAAGAAGAGTAATATAGAATCAGTTAGAAAAGAGAAAAAAAAAAAAAAAAAAAAAAAAAATAGTGCAACACAAAGAACGCAGCAAAAATGCAAAGCACAGACGATAAAAAAAAAAGGAGTCAGTTCGTTTTTCTTTTTTTCAACGTGTCTATCGAGGTTAATCAGTTTTAATTTACATCGGAATTTATTCGTACAGGTGCACTTTCATGTTCAGGTGCACTTTCATGCTCTTGCAAATATTTGATCGGGACCGGAACTTCTTTGAACTCCTATTGAGGTTAATTAACATGCCCCCTATTTTTTTCGTATGCCTCATTCGTTACTTATGTTCGATTTATGATCCTATACACCCCTTAGTCTTTTCAGGGCCCCATGCAATAGAGTCATACGTACCTCGTCTATCCATGTTTGCCCTTTGTCATTCTCCGGCAGGGCTCACTTTCGTGTTCGGATAAATTTGTCACTAGGATCGAAAATTTTTTTGGCTCCAATCACCGTAATCGAGGCGGCTCGTACTTGCGGTCAGCGTTAGGTATCCTAAGTCAGTCATCCGTCCACAAAAGATTTGAAAAAAGTCACATGTCTTCGTCGACCTTTCCGATCCCCGATCGCTAGGAAGTAGTCCGTAGTACTCATTCTCCTCGCCTGAGCACGAGGCCCAGATCTCAGAAGTAGGCGTTGGCTCCACCACAATAATATTGCACCACCCCCATAAATGGGTCTATGCGGCGTACCGCACCTCCCCCCAACCAGCCTCGAAGGTCGTGGATCAGGGAAGAGTCATTCCTAGCGATCGAGGTCGGGCAAACCGTTGATGACCTCACCTTTCTTCTCCTCTTTTGCTTGGGTGACTTCGATTAAACAGGAGCAAAGGGGGTAGAGAACATTCGGGATAGCATGGGTGTCTTGGGAAAAAGACTACATTTATTGTCATCTTTATTGCTTCTTATCGGATTGGTTCCTTCTCCAATATTCATTCGAAATACATGGTGTGACCAAACCCTCCCAATAACAGTTAATTTGCTTCACATAAGTGCCTGAGTATTTTCAGCGGCCCATATAGACCAATCATACGAACCTTGATTATTCTTAAGCATCCCTTGCTTTCTTTCGATACCGTTTACTGGAAGGCGACCTTTGCTTTCCTTCGATACCGTTTACTGGGAGGCGGCCTAAGCGCTTTAGTATTTTCAGCGCCACACGAAACACACTCATACGTACCTTGCTTATTGTTTCGAGACCGTCTGCATGAAGAGGACTCAAACTTATTGTTTCGTTTTCTTTTACGATTAAGATTTTTTTGTCATAATTATTCATGAACTTTACAATCTTTCTCCGTATATATTTGTTCTTTCAATCTTGTTACTGATTTTAATAGGTCTTTAATATTATCCCATATTCATACTTTAAAGTATACTCACCTGATTTTTTTTCCAGGTATAAGTAGAACAATATAAGAGCGAACACACAGAACATAATAATGTTCATTTTTTTTTTTTAAATGTTAGTCTCTAAAGAATAACATAATAATATTTATAACAATGAACAAATACAACATGCAATAACATATGAACAAATGACTAAAGCAATCTTTATTTTTATCCATCAACAATATTTTCATGCAATTGCAAAAATAGTTGTCAAAGACGGAATGTCGAAACAAATAGAAGAGAGAGAGGGAGAGGGAGAGAGAGAGAGAGAGACAGAGAGGGAGAGAGAGAGGGAGAGAGAGAGAGAGACAGAGAGAAAGAGAAAAAAAAAAAAA